GAACAGACACATGTTACTAGAGGTAACTGCGAAACCTATTTCCCAGTTAAAAAACAGTATGTAGGGACCCAGTACAGAGTGAGCGAGGACAAAGAACAGGAACAGGCTCCTGTAAAGGAAGCAGGAAGAAGGTATTAGGGGATGCTGTGTTGCCCAACACTCCTTATTGAAATAAAATAAAGCCATTTTGAGAGATTCTTGGCTCAGGTGACTGCCTGGACATTGTTTAGAGTGGATGCCTGTGAGAACAGCCTAGAGCCACAGACTGCGAAACATATTAAAAAGATAAATAAAAAGTACGTGTTTGGAAATATTTAAAAACAGCCATTCATTTCTGAGGGCAGACAGCTGGAGGAAAAATATTTAAATGAAAATAGATTAAAATTACAAGGAGAGAAGCAGGTGGCTTTCACATTAATATGGAGTCCAGGCCACTCAGTGAGTCTCACTAGTTGGCCTTCCTATTAACTCAGATTTTGCTACACAACTTACTTTGACAACTAAATCCTTGCTTACTCTGATTCAAAATGCAGTAAAATGATGTCCAGACCTGAGGTCTGGTTGAGAGAGAGACCTACGGTCTCAACCATAAATTTAAAATCATTTATACATGAAGACCGAGGCAGCAGCTAAGCATCACTGCCAAACCTGGAGCTAATTAGCCAGAGATGCACAATGAACTTAGCCCCTGTGGTCCCCTCTGCAACACTGATTCTTTTCATGCCTCTACAGCCCACAAGAAGCACGGGAGAAGAGGTGAGTCTTTCTGTGTGGCTCAAACTCTATTTGAAGTGTGTGTGTGTACTACAAAAAAGCAACACAACAGACCTGCAGGCTGCAGGCTTCACTTCAGCCTCCTGCACATTGAGTAGGGTCCGTTTGAAGCAGCTGCTGGAGAAGGTGTTTCCTGAACCCTCCTCAAGGTCAGTGTCTTCAATGTCACTGGTTATTTTTTGTGCACGTAGTACAGAAAGGAACATTGCTTTCTCAGGGCAGCAACCATACAGGCACTGTACAGGAGTGCTACTCTGTGAACTGGTTGACCCTTGTAGATCAAAGTAATGTTTCTGGTCAAGAACAAGGCTAATGATAACAGCAAGATCCATATCTGAAAATTACAATCTCACAGCTGGAACAACATCTTAACAACAAGATTAAAAAGGCTCTCCTAAAAAATGCTGCTATGTCATCATCCTGTAACATCCAGGATTTCATAATGTCATCAAGCAGCAAACTCTAACAATAAATATCCCCACAAAGATTCAATAAAAGCAGCAGATATCACTCTCTCTCCATCTCTCATGATGGAGCTGTTCCATTTTTTATACATATTTAAATATTAATTTGACAAGAGGGAGAGACTGACAGCAGCTCAGTACTGAAGACACTCGCAAGGGATCTCTCAGACCCGTACTCAAGCTCTCTCACAGAATAATACAAAGCATTTCTCTAGGGTTTGCATCAGGATTTTTTTCTCTGTTCCAATACACATTGCTGATCAAGAACAGAGAAAAAGGAAGAGACTTGCCCTGGGACATAGTCCAGTTATAGGGCATTCACCTGGGAAGTGAAAGAGATGCTCTTAACCTAAGTGAGTGCCTTAACTAATGGCTGATGGGGTAAAGTTCCCTCACACTTTCCCAATGCCTTCATCCCTCCATGGGAAAAAAAGAAAGTCTCCCTGGCCCAGAGAAGATCCTTAACATCAAAGCCTAATTCTATGAAACATTTTGAGAGGCTAGAGATTTCTGATGGAAAACACTGGACAGTTCCCAAGAAGTTCTATTTAAAACATGCTGGATGTAGTCACCCATGATTTAATTTAACCAAGTAAGATGGAGTTCAAACCCTCATGAGTGCACATAGCATCTTTAGAGTGCAACAGATCAGTAAAGGCAGCGTGCTTTGTTATTTTAGTGAACAGTGTCACTAAACAATTTGTTTTCATTGAAACTCTGTTGGTAATGCAGCTGGAACAGACCTATTTCAAGACGACTTTCTGACCTCTGCGTCAGCACCAGATGCAGCTAAAGGTTTTGAATTGACTAGTAGATCCTGTGTTAAAAGACTTCCCTGGTTAATTTGTTTGCTCTACTTTAGGAAGGAGAAAGGACGAGTAGCTTGGCTTGCTCTAGTCCCCAAGCCACACTAGTTAAACAGCACAACATTGCCATGTGAGTGCTTTATCAAGGCTTATGTAAGTTTTACTTGCCCTTGTAAATGCAAACTAGTTTCCAATTTTAAAACTAACTCAGTTTAGTTGTATATCTGCACACCAATTTAATTTAGATGGATGTCACTTTTCTGTTTAGGAATTGGGATTCTCTGGATTAGCAGAGGAAAGGTTTGATACAAACAAGAAAGAGATGAAAATTGAAAAGTAGAAAAAGAGAAACAAGCTGAGAAGGGAGAGAAGAGATAACAAGAGAACAGATGGAAAGTTGTAAGATAGGTAGAAAAAAAATCTTTGAGTGAAGTACTGCTGGCCAGTTATAAACAGAAAAATGTGGTCATAGGGACAATTAAAGAATGAAGAAGCCATACTCATATACAATGAGAAGAGATACTCAGGAATCTGAATTACTGAAAAACAAAAAAATACACCGAATAAATCCCAGATTTTGATAGGAAATTAAAAGAAAAAAAACCCAACAAACAAATATGAAAATCGGCATCAAAGTCATTCCTGTGGGCATTAAGCATGTTCCAGTAGATTCAAGTCCTGAAGGACCTGACTACACATTTGAGTTACCTAGGTGCTTCAAAGGCTCCAACAAATTCTACTTTTCCCTTCTTGGTTTCCTCAGTGACTCATACTTCTATGTCTGCCTCAGCGCAATGTCCTCACAAGCTTTGCAATGGACTCTGCTAGGAGCTAAAATATCCTCCAAAACCCTGAAATGACTTTTTGTGCTGTCTTGGGACTTTATTTCTAAAGCTGCATGTCTGTGTACTACCCTACTTTCAGTTCTCTTCATGCCCATGTACGAAGGGGTATGCTGTCCTTCTCCATCAGCAAGCCTAGCATGTCTCCTCATCTGTGCTGGTTTAGGTGAAGAACATAGCAGTAACTGTGCAAGAGGTTTAGGTCAGAGGCTATGATTTTGCTATGTAAAAGATCTGGAGGCTTGACCTGAGACAAAAAAGTATATTAACTAGATGTTGAGCTTTTCATTTAGAAGAGCACCTTAAAATGCTGTAGGGCTTTTTTGCTTCATACCATTCACACAGGCTCAACAGAGGGGTCAAGAAAATCTTACTGAAATTATGTAACAAACAAATTGCAAAAAAGCTCAGGCAAGCCCTGTTGGTTTTTTAAGGTGACAGTGCTGAAGGGGAAGCTCGGTTTTTGAATGGGATGAAATATTTTCTCATATTATGAACTTTATTTTAAATATATTGCATTTGGATCTTTTAAAGTACAAATATTTTTGATGAAAGTAGAACAGTAAGCACAACAAAGAATTAGATACTAAATTTCCCATGATCTAAAATATTCAATAGTCCTTTTTTTTTTTTTGGTCAGACATCTTAAAGATACTAACAGTGTTAGCCAGAGAGTACGCTGCAGAGACACCACACTAGTTTCTTACAGGCATATAAGACCTCATCCAACTTCCAAAGAGCCAGAGGAAGGCGGATCAGGCTCCATCTTTCTATTTGCATGGAAGTCAAGCTCTTGAGATACAGAGATTTTTGGCCATGTCCCTGCATGGGGGACTCCCAGTGCTGCCTGCCATTCCCAGCAATCTGTCTGTACAGCGCAGGAGCTGGCAGTCTCATCATGGCCTTTACGGCACACCGAGATGTATATTTAGGTTGCTTATGTCTCCATTCCCTTCGCTCCCAACTCCCTGTCTGGCAACAAAATAAAAAGTGGTGAAGTAGCATAAAGGCAAAAATGATGACAGCACAGATTTTCTATAGTGTTACTTCTGTCCTTATTCCTTTCGTCTCCAGGACATACAAAAATGGTCCTTATGCAAACTGATTCGAAACCAAGTCAAGTGACTCAGAGAAACCTACAGATCCCAAAGAACTGGAAATTAATGGAATTTTAATTCTATCAGGAAGCCTAGAAATGTAGACTTCACTGGTTCTTTATTATTTTGATAACATATTTAATTGCGACTAAAATAATCTAGGTTCATGTCAAGCCCTATGGTGCTTCTTTAAAGATTGAAAAGCAATAAGATAATAAAGAATGCAAATGTGCAGACAGCTGCTCACAGGGAGATGCTGCTTGAAGTAACGGTTCTCTCTCCCCCTCTGCTGCAGCTGGGTTGCTTTTAATTCTTAGCAAGGAAAATAACAGGTTCAATAGATGTGGATGCAAGTTCATTTTCACCATCAGCAAACTTCTGCAACTTTCACAACAACACTGTGTTTGAGAACATGGACAAGTTTACACCAATGATGATTAAGTATATTGCTCATAATTCTGAATATTAAATAGAGCATAGGTACAGTATGAAGGGTGCTTTTGGATCACGATCATGAGGACTGTCACAAAACACTACCTTAAAAACTAATGTTCAATCCCCAGCTTTCACACACACATCCCAGTGGCCTTAGACAAGTACATGTGATTTACAACCGGTTAGACATAGATTTACGGTGCTCTTTCCCAAAAGGCTACAACGGCACCTCAGTTTGAACATAATGCAGAGCAACTGCACGTAGGGGTGTGAGATCCCCATCCCATGCACTGAGAGATGGGAGAAGCTGCAAATGGAGGTTGATTACTCTGCCACTGCCTGACCTGCCCCAGAGGCAGAGGGAGTTGTGTACAGGGCTGCCTTTAGAGCAGGAGAGAATATAAGAAGCAACATGTCAATATTCATTTGAGGCTTAGATCTAAAGGATCATTTCCACCTTTTCTGCTACACATGCAATGAAAAACTGTTACATACCTTACTATTCAGCAGTCTATTGTCAATCAAGAGAGGATGGCAAAGAGAGGGACATATACAGATAGATGTGTACCTGCAGACAATCACTTACTTTGGATTTCCGGCCCCTGGCTTCTTTCTCCGGAATATGTTGAGGAAAGTGTTGGATTTGCAAGGTGCCTTGCCGTCCCCGACATGCATACGCACCACATCTGAGGTGGTGAAGGCACTGCGGACGTTCCTCTCAGGCTTGGCTATGATGATGTACATCTTAGGAGTGAACATGCACCCCAGTGCCACTGTCACGCTCAGGCTCACTGCAAAACAGGTAGTGATGATCTTGTAGTTGCTCCCAAAATAGATAGGCACAAAGGCCAGCCAGATGATACAAGTGGTGTACATGGTGAATGCAATGTACTTGGCCTCATTGAAATTGGCAGGCACATTGCGAGTCTTGAACGCATAGTACGTGCAGCTCATGATGAGGAGTCCATTGTAGCCCACAGGAGCCACTACACCTAGGTTGCTGGTGTTGCAGATAAGGTAAACTTCCTTAATGCTGGGGTAGGAAAGGATGGGCATCGGAGGCTCCAGGATGATCAGCGTGATCACCAGTGTCAGTTGCACACTGATCAAAATGGAGGCAATGACCACTTGGGCCCATGCGCTCATGAAACGTGGCTTGCGGGTACAGATCTTCTTTTTGCTGCCTGCCAGGATGCGTGCAATGCGGTTGGTTTTGGTCACAAGGGCAGAATAGCACATGGCAGAGGAGAGACCCACCAGAAGGCGCTGGAGGTAGCAGGATGTCGTGGTGGGTTTAGCTATAAGGGTGAAAGGGCAGACATAACCCAGAAAGATGCCAGCAAGGATAATGTAGCAGAGCTCCCGGCTGGAAGATTTGACAACAGGGGTGTCCCTGTAGAGCACAAAGATAAGGGTGACAAACATGGTGACCAGGATCCCCAGGCAGGAAAAGACCACAGCCACAATAGACTCTATATTGCTCCACTGGAGGTACTTTACAGGGATGGGTTCACAGCCTGTAGTATACAGAAAAGAAACAGAGTGTTAGAAAGGTAGCTGCTTGAAGAAAGAATTTTGTTTTCTGGCTCCAAATATAATCCAAACATTAGTTTATGCTTATGCGCCATGGATTATTAAAACCATTTTACAAAGGAGTGAACTGCAGCATGTAAAAGCTGGGCTGAAATATGTTCAAAAAACAGCCATTATTTTTGGGTGTTCCAAACATTTGCTCATGATGCTACAAAGCATCTGGACATTTTTGCATAAATTTTCTTGAGATACCTGCTGACGAGCCCAGCATAGCAAAAGCAGAGCTGGGAACAGAACCCATACAAACTCTGCATCGTCCCTTCATTTCAGCAGGGAAAGGATTGTTACAAATCACAATGGGTAGCTTTTTGACCTCCTCAGACTAACTTGTTTTAATCTTTGTCAAAATCACTATAACTTGACCCACTAAATTTTTGTGAGGATGATTTTACAAATAACAGAAATTAATTAGAGCTCTATGGGCAGAAAACTGGTAATAAGTCCAAAGTTGTAATGGGACTACACCATAGAGACTGTACCTTGTCAGCATATTTCTGCCTTTTTTTTCTCTTAACATTACCTTATTCTCATTTTGTCAAACCCTCTGCTTATTGTTTTTCCACTAAATAACGTGATTTAATTCTTATGGAAAAGTCAAACCCACAAAATATGCATGCCTTCAAAAAATAACTAGAAAGGATCTTCTTTATGACCAGTACAGATGTGCAAACATAGGTATCAGTTAAGATGGTGCTTAACTGCTCTCTCCCACACTCAAACTAAAGGAGTCTCTGGCTGCCTTCCTCACTGTGCTGATGATGTAATACCAGCAATAAACACTACAGAGAAAATAAAGTCCTCTGTGTTAATAAGATGTTACGGTTGTGAAGCTAAGTTACTGGAAACCTTCATTCTGGCATTTCCTATTTTCTTTTCTTGGCTCAATAGTGCTAAAATGCTTTCAACATGTTTCTGTATTCCAAGGTAAGTATCCATGGCCTCTTCTACTTCTTGTTTCTGTCCTCCTCCAGTTTCCTTTTGACCCAGCTCACTTTTTGTACCTTTCTCCCACCTCTAAGTATCTTTCCTCCCAGCCTCTCACTGTCCCCATCCATCTCAGTTCCCCTTCCAGTTCATTTCTTTCCTAGCCAGTCACCTCTCCACCCAAATGTCTCCATTATGAATGCTGTTGTTCCAGCTTTTCACATCCCTGACCTGCTGCTCATCACCTCTGCCTGTCTGGATTGTTGGACGTGGCTGAGAAGAGCAGGGAAAAGGCACTGGTGTCAGTGAGCTTGTAAGAGAATCTTTTTTTTATCATCTCAGTTTTGTTGCAAAATCTTAGCAAGGATATTGCGATGAGCAAAAGTCATGCTCAGCCCCTTCCTCTTCAGTACGGAGCATATCTGCAGAAACCAACCTCCCCTATGAACTAAACTCTTCTGAGCCCACAGTTTTGCTCAATTTATATGCATCTTCCACAGGGTGACACAAAATTACCAACTGATACCTCCACCAAAATGTAAAGTCCTTCCTTCCAAATATAGAATAAGTAAGCAGAAGTATGGATCAGAGTTGAACAGTTTTACTGTAACCTCATTTTGAGAAATAGAAGAAGAAAAAACAGTTTTTGTTGAAATTAAAACAAATCAGCCTGAGGCAAAGTCCTGACATGGAAAATTTCTGCTCGAACTTTTAATGTCTGCCAATGTCATACTAACTGAAAGAATGTCTTACAATTCTGTACTCTTTTTCTCTAAGAGGACCAGGCTGACTAAGCTTCAGGTAATGATGTTACAGGAACCTGCAACACCAAAACCAAAAGAAATAATAGTATGTACAACTGGAGGTCTTGTTTTATAAAGAAAAGGAATTCTGTTTTGCTCAGAGGGGTCTGTTCAAGATTCAGATAAGTGAGGAAACCTGTTCTTCCAACCAGCATTTTTATGGTGAAATATGAAGGAAAAGCTTTTTATTACAAGTAGGAACCTCTGGCCATTGGCTGCAGCAGCCCTGAGTGGAAGTTGGCTCCTTTTTTAATTTAATAAGAGACTAAGAACCAGAAGCTCCTGCTCACAGTAATACATGCAAAGCTCTTCTTAAACAAGAAGCCAGTCTGTGATTACTGGAAAGGTTAAGTTTCAATGTGGGCTTTAAGCTTAGCAACTTCAAGCCTACTCATATTATTCCATCTTAAACAATATTTTCAGAGCCTTAGCCCAGATTCAGCATGGTAGTTAGGCCTATTGATTGCTTTAAGCTTATCCCGTGTAAGGTCTTAGAAATCTGTTTCATTACATCAGTGTAACTCCTGTGCACCAGCAAGCTTCAAGAGTAACATTGCAAAAAGCTGCCTGCACTGCTTATATCAGCAAACAGTTGTTGGTTGTCAGCACCTATGAAGGTGGGTCATTTCCCAGCTAGGAGAAAGTGGGCTAGGGAACTTTGTTGAGACTGGGGGAGGATATCCAGGAAATGCTGTAGTTACAGAGAATTAGTGGCAAAAGCTTCATGGTTGAAAGTTCGTAGTAAAAAGTGATTTGGTAGCTTTCATCTACTATTTTCCCTTCACTTTAACCATGAGATTTCCTAGAGCAGAAAGCTAATTGAACTTTTTTTTTTTTTTTTATAATTGTATTTATACTGCAAGGCCAATAAGACAATCCAGGATGTTTTCTGAGGTTATTAACACATCCCAGGTAACTGATAGCCCCAGGTAACTGATTCATTTCATAATAAGTCTATAAAACTTCCTGTTCTATCTTGTTTTATTGCTTATTTAAGATGATTTATATAAACTGGCTTTACTAGCTTGACATTCATTCTTCTTATATTAGATTCTGATACTATAAAAGATATCTCTTCTTCTTGGCACAAGGCCCTTAGATACTGGTTTCAGTGACTATTTGTCAGGACAGGGTTTTATCATCCATGGTGAGAAATCCTTTGTGCCTGCTGACTCCACTTCACTGAACACATATTTAAGGGAAGCAATCTAAAAAAAAAAAAAAGTGTACATTTAAAACCAAAATTAAAATGTCAGGAAAGGATTTCTGAGCAGCAAAGACTGATTCCAAATGCCGAGAATGAGCGCCTTGAAAAGTGTGTCTTAGGAAATGGGTTAGTATGTGCTTCACATTTCTTAAAGGGACTAAGGAATTTAGAGCCTCCATCTGTGATGGAAAGTGAGGCTAAAACTAAAACTGCATACATGTTTAGCATTTAAGATTCCAGGCAAAGGGAAAAACAATCTGAAATGTGAGATGTTAACTTCTGTGTCTAGATGCTATGGTGACTGGCAGGCTATGAATACAACACACAAAAGCAAGCTATAAAAACACGTTTGATGGGAGAAAACCTGGCAAGAAAAGATCTCTCTCTCCAAATTAAATGGTACCAATGGTAACTTCCACAAAGTTCAAGAGCTAGAGTTTATCTAGCTCAGTCTCCCTTTTCTACAGGTTAGGATGGCATCAGCTTCTCTTCACAACTCTGTACTTTGTTAAAGTGCAAACAAAGGGGTTAAACGTTTTTTTTCCTCAATAAGACATAACAAAGAAACCTCGCAGGAGCAGACTGCCATTTTGATGTTCTCTAGGAAATCAGTTGATGGCTATGCTGTCACTTGGCTGATGCTACTGTGATTTTAGAACAGCAGCAGTCCAGTCTCCTTGCTGAGAAGAAACACAAATCAGCAGGTCATCTACTGATTTCATTAAAAGTTAATAGATTGCAACATGCCCCTGAGATTTTTTCCAACACTGATGCTTTCCTCAACTCCATTCAGCAGTGCCTGTCATTTTGACATGCCCCATTTTGAGATATTTTGGATAGCTGGTAGCACTGAACCATATTTGCTCAAGTGCACATTGATCTCTCACTATGTTCTTGTTCTGTCATATTGATTAAAAAGAAGTCCCAGTTTATTTCCCTGAATAGTAGATAAAAACAATTCTGCAACCTCCAAGACTAACAGAACTCACTTGTCTATGGATATCTGCTTTAAAATTAACAGACACTGGTTACTAGAAGGTGGGGGTCAAATATGAGCTTTTCCAGCAGTCAGGACGTTTATGAAGGGTACTGCAGATTTTCTGGTGTGTAGTAATACAAGAGGTTTTTCCACAGTTAGGGCCCTTACAGAAGGTATTTTTCAAGAACTCCTCTTCCTACAACCCACTTACATAAAACTTGAAGAAACTGAATGATCATGGAGATTTCTGTATCCTGACAAATCTGTTTGAAGTAGGTTCAATTGCACATGAGAGAGTGATGGGGTTTTAGGGTAAGAGGTATGGGATATAGAGAGATATCACACATACACATCTGGAACATGACCATAGCTTATCTTCCATAGAAAACCAAGATAGACAATGGATCAAGTTTCCCAGTTTATTTTGATTAATAATATATTTTTAGCTGGAGAAATGGCCAGCTTTCCCTCTCAAAATAAATCCTCTGAAAGCTCACTTGGCTTCTGTGACTAGCTTAACAGTATCTCTTGGAACTATTTCATCACGGTTTGAGTACTTTGTCTATGTGTTAAATGCTGCAGCAACATCTAGTCGCCAGCCAGTCATACTAAAGGACAAAGATGTGATAAATTGCACATTTTATCTTCAGTGAGTTAGCCAGATTGTTTCTCTGACGAGGAATGGTGCCCGACTGAATACTGACAGCCAAGATTTGCAGATGCAGCATGGGGCAGAGGTGCCAGTAGTATTTTACAGGGATACAAAGCAAACCCCAAGGTCAAGGTAGTGCTTCTCAGTGCATTAAATCTATTTTCTTGGGGTAATGGTTACTGCGAAGTGCAGAGCAGGTGTGGAGGTTGACCTTGATAGGTACAAAATAACAGAAAGATGCCATAGCATACAACTCATACAAAGCATATACTCAGGGGAGACCAATTCTAGCTGTTTCCCTTTCTTCTGTCAGGCTTTCTTAGGATTTTGTTGACGTTGCTCTTGCTGGCAGGTGCAGTGAGAATGGTCTTTATGCCAAATGAAGGCCTGGTGATCAGTTACTGAGTGGCCTAAAATCCCAGATAAAGTATTAGTGATTGCATGGTAGACTGATTAGAAAGAGCATCAAGTCAATCTGAAAAGGATGCATTGAGCTCTTGTGATAGTCACTGCTAAAACTGCAGCAAATGCTGCTAAATTAATTAGTAGTCTTAACAGCTTTATCAACACTTATGCTAACTGAAGGGGAGGAACAGACAGACTATGTCGTTTCTTCTTGGTAGAAATTTTACCATCTTTATTGTCACTGCTGTTGAACCAATCCAAAAGATACGGCACTTTTCACTCACCCTAAATTGCACTGGGATGTGTGTTTAAGTATATATCTTTAATATGTCTGCATGCTGCCACCTTACTCTCCACCACACACCGTTCTCCTTATGTCCTGTAAAATGGAAACACATTTGGAAGGACACGTCCCTACCTGTCAGGTCAGCGTTCGGCCACCAGCCAAGCTCACAGGCTTTACATGTGAATTCATCCTGAACAAATTCATTCTCCTTGCAAGCAGTGCAAATCCAGCAGCAACTCACTTCTCCTTTCCTGATCACCTGTAATGCAAAATACATCCTCAGCTATGATCCTTTATAAGACAACACAGAAGCACCCCCAGCAAACAGATATCACGTACACTGTTTAAAATATGACAGGATATCTGTGTAAAGCACGTTTCAAACAACAAGAAAACATGAATCCATATTCTGTATCTACCCCTGCATATTGAAATTTGTGCTTAGGAGTTCAAGGATAATCTTTGGGGACAATTCTATCTTATTTTGGGGGGAGCAGTTCTGAGTCAGAAGTACAAAATCATTTTCCCTTTGGTACAGAGGCATGGTGAGTGTTTTATTTTCAATAAAACTTGAGAAGAGGTTTAATTTTAGAGATGGTTCAGGTCCAGACAAGTAGCTCAGCCCACGCTTAATATCTATTGCATAGTAAAAAGCAGTAAACAAAGTCAAATGTTAGAACAAAGAGTGATTCATGCATATATATATATATGTATACACACACATACATACATACACGAGCACATGCACACACAAATAAATTCAAATTTATATGGAAGTCTCTTTGGGGCTCATTACACTAATGTAAATAGAAATTCAAATAAGAGCAAATTAGAAAATATACTGCTAAAATAATGTAATGAATCCTAGTAGAAAATCAAACCAATATGTAGTGACCAAGAGCATGCTTCGGAACAGCTCTTTTGGAGATGAATGTCTCCAAAAGCTGTATCTTTCTTTGCTGTGAAGGCTGCTAAGTGTAATGATCCAATGTTGAAAAGGAAATTTCCTCGTCTTGACTCCTAGTTCCATTATACTGAGGCTGAAAGAAAGGTTAAAGATATCTGCAGCTCGTGGGGCTCCGACAAAGACTCTGGCTCTGTTTGCCAGAAAGGAGGAATCCCACCTTCTATCCATCTATATGCAGAGCTAAGTGCAGTAGTGAAATACGAAATGCTTGTTTTATTGAATGCTGGCTTTGTGGGCTTTTCTGTTAACATTTCCTCCTGCAGTTTGTGGAGAGAGTCCAATAGACTTCAATGGGAGCCGAAGCTGGCATTTTGTATTCATGATGTTTACATATACACACGTACACAAACTGCACAATCTCAAAAACAGGGAAAAGATGTTTTGGAGGGTAGTAAATACCAATAATGTTTCCCCTCGGAGACTGTTGGAGTATGTCACTACACTTTTGCCAAATCATCAATCACTTATTGCTTAGAGTAGCAGTATAGAATTAAAAAGCTGCAAATGTGCTTATTAAATGAAATTAGAAAGGAAGGTCTGCTCTAAGGTGATTTTCCTGAATGGGCTTCTTGCCATTTTAAACTTACTGCACCCATACCATTTCGATAGTGCTGGAACATGTCTTTATGTCATCCATACATGGCAGGTGGCAAATTATTTGTAGGTTGATACAAGTGCTACTGTTTGGTAAACACGGAGTGATTTCATTTGTACTTCCATACCTCCTGTTGTGAACATGAGATAGAAGTAGGCTTTTTCTGTTGTGGTTTTTTTTTTCTTGCAGGTGTTATTGCTGGAACAAAATACTGGATTCCCAAGGGTCATGTTATTTTCAGGATCAGCCACCAAGTGAATCACGGCCACTGAATGTTGTAGGCAGTGACTAAGTGAAAATCTTGTTCCAAATCCTGTCACGCTAGAAAATTTTGCATCATTACAAAGGGCAATTTTAGAAAACATGGGCCTGTATATAGGATAGTAAGAGTAAGATATTAATCTAGGAGTCTTTCTATACTTTTGGCTTTCCTGAAGAAAAGGAAGTCCTATCTATTGTCTTGAAAGAAGCTTGTTTGGGTTTAGGGAAAAAAGAGTGATTCACATTTCTATAGCAGAAAGGAAGTGTCTGAGGCACACCTTAATCTGGCCTTTCAAGCAAGGTTCACTGCACACCGATCGGACCATTCCACTCTTATTCATCTGAATCCTGTAGTCGTCGATGTTGAGCACGCCCTCATGCCAGGTGCCAATGAGGACATAGTCGTAGCGATTGGGCTCTATGTACTGCAGGTTCATGATGTCATACCTGCAAGGGAAAAAAGAGAGAGTCGCTTTCCTGCAATACAAAGGATAAAAATTTACCTTGCCCTTCTCCTTCTGCCTCCATAAATATTCATGTCATGCCTTAACACCAGGGACTAGTCTTTCACGGAAGCACCAAATACTTTAAGATTTGCAGCAGAATCATGGGAAATGACAGCTCAGATCAATTGCCACACAATTACCAATTGCCTGCTCTGCTTACATAAACCTGTGGGTAAGAAGCTGTGAGTCCAGGAAGAACTACATGTCAAAGACAGCAAGCTCTGCTAAAGATGCACATGTAGGCATCACAGGTAGGATGGTGTGGTTTTCAGCCATTTTTCAAGATGCCTTTAACGTTCACTTGCTGCGTACATACAGGTTGGTTGCAGTATAGCCCCTGTTGAGAGCTCTAAAGTAATCGGCAGAAATGCTCAAACTAACTGAACTGGTATGCCATAAGTTAACTCTAAGCACTAGTTTAACTATTTATATTACCCAGCCCAGTGAGACTGCCAGGAAAAGTTAGCAGCTCAGGCACAAAATTTACTTCCTCATGCTAGGCGAATAGGAGAGAACTTCTCAATGCTAATGTAAAGGAAGTATAAAACACTGCTACAGTAAACATTCAGCTGCCCTGCCTTGATCATTGCCTTCCATGTGTCGGGCCTGGTGTGTGCACATCCCTTAGTGCTACTTATTCTGCTGCTTCTTTAACCTGCAGAATGTGGTTTGTGTGAAGTAGTGATTAGGCGTGACACTTTCTTAGTAGGAAATAAGCAAGAATGCAAGAATGGCAGAATAAATATTAGAGAGTCTACAGAGAAGAAAGACAAAAAAGGCTGGACCTACAAGGCTGGCCTCTTAAGATGAGAAGGGAGAGAGTTTTGTTTAAAATAGAGCAAGAGAAAGAGGTCTGTGAACCAGAAATCAACACTGGAGCAGAAAATCACAGAGCACCTTCTGTTTTCCCATCCTGGGAGTTAGTGTCTTATTTTTCTCTACTGGATTGCCTCAGCCTCCGGGAAAAAAAACATCTTTTGTTTATAATGAGTGCTGCTAATCTGTATGTGCATTAGGAACAAAAGGTAAGCAAAGTATGAGCCATAAATAAAATCGGGATGCTTGGTTGTGGGCAAAAAGAGATACTTCTCTCTGCACTTCGCAGAGGAGAAAGGTGCTAGAATTACTCCCTAGAAGTCTGTTTTTCTTAATTGAGTCTTTAGGATCTCTCTAGTTAAAGATGATTTAAAGAAGTACATATACATATAAAGAAGTACATACAATACATCTGTATTTAGACCTTGGTCTTGCAAATATGCATGCTCAGACGATGTCAGTGCTACTGCAGAGCTCCACTGAATCACATGAAGAGGACTTTTGCCACTGAGTTCAATGGAGTTCCAAATAGGAGGCAGCTCGATTGCTTGGCAATCAGCTACTAATTGAGGAGTTGCTTAGAAAAGGATAACTTTCAAATTCACTAGGAAAAAATTCCTTCTTAGATCTCAGTTCTTGCGAAGGAAGAACATAAAAAAAGGAATGACGTTTTCAGGATTGTGAAGAATCAGGATAGCAAGAAGCAGTAGGAGCCGGGAACTTTATAATGTAGACTCAACAGACACGAGTAAAATTGAGCCGGAATGTACATGTCTCTTCCTAGCAAGAAGATCTTACTTGGATTTTAGTGCGACCTTTTATTAGACTGATACAAAATCAGTTACTCTGGACTGGAAAATGAATTCAGGAAGGGAAATAAAAGATTACTAAAACCTCACATTCCTTTAATGGAATTTTTGAGCCTGCACAGATAGTTTTCATTTTTGTAAAAATATATTACAAGGCACAGAGTGGCATTAATGCAATATAAATTGAGAGCTGGCAATTTCAGGGATATGATTTTAGGTTGAAAGCCATTCTTATGTTTTCTTATAATACTGTTCCCTTTTCTAACAGTTATCTGTCAAAGAATAAATTACGCAGACTAAAAGCTCTTACACAATCTTGCATGTGACAAGTTGTAGTACAATGTTTGCAGCTTTGATATGCAGCTTGAATTTTAAGTGGAAAAATGTGGTCTAACAAATACACTTGGTATATGGAGACATGCTTAAGTTCTTTATCCTTTCCTTCTTTTCCTTAATGAAAAATTCTTCTTTGAGTAAGGAGAAGTTCAGTGCTGGAATACCTCCCCCCGTCCCCTTGCTCACATATGTACAACTTTAACAGTTTTGGGTCTTGCTCAAGTTAAAAATTATTGTCCCAAAAGGTGTGGTTTTGTCAAGAGTTGTGAAGCTCTAAGAGAGTGAGGACTGTGGAGGCAGCTGAATTTCACATGCATACGGCAGCATTTACAAAAGCCATAAAAACATTCCTCAGATAAGAAAATGAACCCTTCTTTGAATATAAGAGCAAGCTCTCTAGTGTATTGGGAAAAGACATGACCAAATAGGTGGTATCATATGAACAAGTTACTTGTGAGATGAGCCAGACCATTAGCCAGCTGGTCACAGGCACACTCTTACTCTGGTTAGGCTGAGGTAGCTGAAGTTACCTTTTTCCATAGCCATAATATCAGACTGGCAGTGAGTTTTGTCCTGGAAGGCAGAATGGAAAACAGCAATGCTGAACAATACTGGGATGTAACTGGCCAAAACAACCACCTACGAAGCCAAACTCCAAAACAACCATGTATATTTGACAAAAAAATCCTTTATATACAAGTTTGAAGCCTTTGCATTGTGCTTTTGATAATTCACTCACAGCATTGGAGTTGATACAGTTGCCATGTCTGAACAGCTACTGGAAATTTTGAACTAGATAGACTTATATAGGTCTACGATCAAGTCTAGTTAAGGTGAGATAAACAACCGTGTTTCTGTTAGCTTGTGAACCTCCACACTTGAGAGGTCCATTGTAAGGGCTGAATGTTCTCCTGCCTGTTGTCACATAGCGTTTTACGGTCAGAGGCCTACACAATTTTTTTGTCCTAGAGAGTTAAGTTTTTTCATACCTGCCACAAGCTAAAAGTAGGCAGTTACCCTAGAATAGACAAGAGTTCAAAATGGATCTGTCCCCTGCTCCTTGCATAGGCCCTTAGAAGGATGTAGTGTTGACTACTGTATCCCTCATACCTTCTCCAGCCATTTCTGGGAATTTGAGTTATATGATTACTTTTGAAAAAGGAATAGGAGGTACTCAATGAAAGTAAAAAGTTCAACAATTTTACCAGAATTTGCTTAATGACAGTATATCAAGCACATACTGTTGAATTTCCAGAGCTATATCCAGATAATTTTTCACAGAGGCAGTGCAGTCAGTTATGTGACCACATTTGTGTCCTTCTGATAAAGGTCTACTTCACATTACTGCATAAAAGCTATTCAAAGAAAAGATTCTGCACAGAAGAAATAAACCTTTGAAAAAGTGCTTCATGTTTTCTAATCTCATTTTAATAAAAGCTTGAAACCATGAATTGAGCCAGAGATAGAAAAAGAGTTATATCTAAACAAATGGTTAAGGTGTTACAAAGCTTTAAGGGGTTCAAACCAGGAAATTATGTGAGTGTCAGGCAAACATAACTACAGGCATCTCTATCTGCTCTACCCACGATGACTGTGACTGGGAGCTTGTAAGACAAAATTGCTCAAATAATGTCACAGATTTTGAAAATAAAGCATGAGGAAGATTGCTGCCTTCTGAGGAGGAATATTGATTTATTCCATCTTGTGAAGTTGATTTTTTCACATGATATGCTAACATAATATAAAAAAAAAAAAAATTATATATATTTTCATGACATTCTTGCGCTGGCATAGAAAAGCTAAAAAACTAAGAAATTTCAGATCTGTCTTTTTTTTGCTGTATTTAAGTGTTGTATGTGGTGTTTATCTTTTCATTTTGCTGAGGTACAAAAGCTCTTTTGGGTATTGATACAGCGGTATGGTCTGTTCACTCATCCACGAATAACTTTTCTATATTGAGCTGTGGAAACACTAGGGCTAATCTGAAGTTAAACACAATTCTGCATGAACATAAACTACTGCTGCCATACAAAGATCTGACAGGTCTTAATTAATTGAAGTTTCTTGCCCAAACTTGCTAACTCCAGCTGTGAAAATACAAATGAGGATCAACAAAAAAAAAAAGTACCTAAAATAACCCATTAAATTCTAAATAGGGCATAAAATCAAGAGAAATTAACCTTGCTATAGACCGAAATGATGGATGGAATAAATTCTATCATTCTGACCTACTAAGAGAAATATCCTGATAGAAACCCTCCTATATTTTGAATTCAGGAACTAGTTCATTCTAATTCTGTGCTTGGTACTGATGAGAGTTGTGAAATGCTCTCAGGTGACAAGATCATAAATAAGATTTAGACTAAAATTGAAAAATTACACCTAAACATCAAACCAAATTACGTATGAAGATAGGTTGAGAGAGTTGGGGGTCGTTCAGCCTGGAGAAGACAAGGGTCCAGAAAGACCTTCTAGCAGCCTTCCAGTACCTAAAGGGGGCCTACAAGAAAGCTGGAGAAGGACTTTTTCCAAAGGCATAGAACGACAGGACAAGAGGTAATGGCTTTAAACTGAAAAGAGGTTAGATTTGTATTAGATCTAAGGAAGAAATTCTTCACTCTGAAGGTGGTGAGGCACTGGAAGAGGCTGCCCATAGAAGCTGTGGATGCCGCATTCCTGGAAGTGTTTAAGGCCAGGTTGGATGGGGCTTTGAGCAACTTGATCTAGTGGAAGGTGTTCCTGCCCATGGCAGGGGGATTGGAACTAGATCATCTTTGAGGTCCCTCCCAGCCCAAACCATTCTGTGATTCTATGATTCCAAGATTCTAAGCAGTAATTTCTCTGTATTATCTAAATTATATGTGCAAAGACTTGATTTATGCATTTGTGTCAATAAGTATGTGTTCAACTGTGAGGAAATTGCTTGCCTCTACTTTCAAAGTCTGATTCAACTTGTCCATACATCTTCAACTAAAAAAATCTGAAATACACAACACTCAACAAGAAGATCAAACTGATCAGCTTTTTATTACTATTTAAATGCAACAAGCTGTTTAAATATATATGCTGTTAAATATGACAAGCAGTGCAAATAGCAAATGGTAAAAAGTTGGTCAGTTTTGCTAATAGAAGCTAGGAATAGAGATAAGAGTTGCTTTAAAGCCACTGTGACTTATGAATACTCTTTGAAGACATATGCCAGACTTCAAACTCTTGTTCGTTCCAGAGCACTCTCTTTGTGCTGTGTTGGCACTCAGATGCATTTATGCAATAAGCCCAAAGATGGAGTGAGAGAGTCTTTTATAACACTTTAATAACTCAGTAGGAAAACTAACTTCAATGAAGTAACCCCTGGGAAGGTTTCAGTTAATAATGGATTGTGTACTTCAGCAGCTGAATTGAGCTTATTTATTAGAATAAATAAATAAATAAATGTTTCAAAAATACATCCATCTGGGAGGTGTCATACTTAAAATAGTTGGACAGAACCCACAGAACTAAATGAAGAGGAAAAGATTTCTGTCAGCTGGCTCCTGTCAGAGAAACAAAGGTGACGTCCAAGACCACAGAGTTGCTGTCTGACCCATTGCTCGGGTACATAGTGTGTCTGCTAGGGAAGGGAGACAGTAGCAGCTACCACAGCTGGAATTTACCAGATCCTAAATGAGTGAAACATAGTACCTTCTGGCAAAACAAACAAAAAAAACCAAAAAAAGGATTCTTTATCTTGCTCTACTCAGACCTATCTTTAAACTCTGGAACAGCCAAGCTTATTTGAAGCGAAACAAATTAAGGAGAGCACACAGGAGTACAACAAGCAGAACTAAATAGTCTCCATCAAGGATGCAGTGTTATGGGCCAGGGGCACTTGGAGCAGCAGAGATCCAGTTGGAAAGGGATGTGCTCTACAGCCCTACCTTCGAAACCTTAGCAAGCACATGCTTCACTAATTTCTGAGCACTTGTATTAGGCTTTATACAAACTAAAACCCTGGTGCTGAGCCCCAGTGGTACCTCAGACACCAAAAGTCTGTGAGATACAGTGTTTGTCCTTTCCTCAAACACTAGAAATTTTCCAGGCTGTACTGTAACTCCTGTCTCAATACGAGCCGTAGCTATCAGTACATCATGTGTTACCAGTGTTATTCCTGCCTATTGGTAAGACTAATCCAGATAACTGCACTCATGTCTCACAGTATGCACGCTGTATGCTTCAGCAAAACAGCCAGAGAAATCTCCATCACCAAAAGCAGCAACATTTCCCCTTCTTAACATCTGGTTTAATTAGCTGAGATGAAACATCTCTTTACCTTCCAGGGGCATCTCCTTTTTCGTCAAACCAAACTTCTTCTCCAGAAATACCGATGAATGAGGATTTGAGAAGGAACTCCAAGAGCTTGCTGCCATCAATTGGCTTCATAGCATCACACAGCCCAACATGTCCAGGGCAAAGGGAATGATGCATATTTTGGAGACCATAAGCCATAGCATATATAGCATTGATGACAAATCCCATTTTACTGTCCTGCACATAGTTTTCTTCTAGGCTCTCGTTGCCTACAATAGTAAGAGAAAAGTGTTGTTATAAACAAAGATGAAATAACATGAACATATGAAAAAGTGGTGAGAGATAAAAAGGAGTTTCTTATTTCTGTTATAAAGTTTTAGAAGCATAAACAAGGTGCCAGCCAGGGATTTTAATAAAATAATAATAAAAAGAAAACCACTTTTTTTTCCTGAAATCTTTAATTCATTGAAAGTGAAATGCCCCATGTGAAAGCATCAGATTGTTGTATATGAGCTAGAAATTTTTTTAAAGTAATTTTCTTGTAAATTTGACTTTTTGTCACATTTGAAGTTTTCTGAGTGTGTTTTGTTTTGTTTTTGAAATCTCATGGTTTCGACAGCCAAAGATAGCAATGTCCCTTTCAGTGTTAATAAGTAAACAACCTAAACCAGTTCTACTTCTCACGTTGTCAAAACTAATGATTTTAGTTACAAGTAGTAGCAGATATACAAATTTGGAATTGCTACAGAAAGTCAGATGAAGTTTGTATAACTAAAAGACCTTTTATGTAACTGCAGGAGGAGCTGAAGTTGAAGTTTCTGCCCATTGATTAGAAACACTGTGGCAAGGAAGGTTTTCCTAAACACACGTTTTAGGTCTGATCAGCTGATGCACAGGCACTGCCAGAGGATGCCATTTGTGGTTGCATTTCACATCAAACTCCGCTGGATCCTGGGCTGTTCCCCTGATTCCCGTCATGAGCTGCTGAATGCTGTCAGCACCGACTCTGAGTCACAGTGGACCCGCACTGCAGGGGTCCCAAGGAAGCTGGAAGTGAGAAACCTTCCTATTTTTTTTCCTTCTCCCGAGTCGTTTTATAGCAACGTGCTCCAAAGTGCAAGATGCTTTTATCCGTAGACCTCCCACATTGCTCGGTGTTTAACAGGCATTTGCAATCCAGTCTCTGTTTCTTTGTCTAAGCAACACCTTGTCTACACTAGTGAAGTAGGATGTGTGAGAGACTAGGTGTTAACTGACACTTCTCAAATCCAGGTTGAGGAAGATAGTTGTCATTTTAACATGAAGAAAAGAGGAAAATCTACAAGTTCCCTGAAACTTTCAAGTTAAAAAATAGTTCCTTCCCCTAACGTAGATATGATACGGCTTTCAAATCAAATCATTGACATCATCCTTACATTTATCCTTGGAAAAGGCTCTGATTTGGTAGGTCTTCTCAGCTCTTTTGCCCTGCAACTCGGAAATGTCAACTGGAGATTCATTAGGACAGCTGAGATCCCAAAGGCAGGTGTGTCTAGGTTTCTTTCTCTGGGTCCTTCTCACATAGGACATTCATTGCAACTGGGTAAGAAAGGTTTGCTTCAGTAACTGTTTTCCAGATGAGCTGAACATAGCAAACAGTTGTGATAGTGAATTTAAAAAGCCTGTGAAACTAGCATAATCTGACTGAATGAGTTCATGTGCACCACTCACTGCCATACATTCACCACCAGCACCACAAAGCAAGGTGCAGATGGAGAAATGTTTCTCAGAGGCAACATATCTACCACTTCCTTTGCAGGAGAAGGTTCATAGCTCCCATTCAAATCGCATGAAACCAACACTATTTAGATCCATGTTCAGAAACACAGAAGGAATAGAAACCTTATATGCAGACTGACAGAATATTTACCCAGGGAAGCAAAGAGTATGCTACTACATGTACCCTCACTTATGTACTGCATATAGTATGTACAGTATGGTCGAGACATCTGTTGCCTGAATATGTTAATGTGCATCTGAGTATGCTATCTCTAGGTGTGTTTTATCTGCTGATTAGTCCCTTAGGATTAACACACTGTGAATTTATCACTGATTCTGCTTACTTTTAAATAGAAAATGAATATGTTCTCCATGTCAATGTGAAAGAGAGGCAGAAAGTCCCTGAGCCCAGCACGGCAGTACTCTCTTTCTTGTGAAGCTTCTAGGCAGCAAGTCATGGAAGAGATCACAAAATGACTGATAGGGCACAGTACTTAGTATCAACTGTTTTCTACCTGAGAGTTTCTCTCAGATACCTCCTTAATATCTCAATTAGTTAAAAAAAAAAAAAAAAAAAAAGGAAAATAAACATTGTGACACTTGCAGGAGATAATGATAACATCTGTATGTGTTTCCCGAGACAAGTGTTCATGTGGTGGCTCGAGGTAGAAATCGGAATGTAATAGAACTTGCCGATGTTTTAAGAAGATGCCATTTCCCTCAAGTATGTATTAACTCAGCAAAGCATGCATTTGGTTTCTTATATTTCAATATAATATGCATACCTCCAAAGAGAATAAATATTTGATGGTGGGAGGATTTGCTTTTGACTAATTAGGAATGAACATCTAGCTTATGTTGAGGCTCCAAGCATATAGTCCCACACCACAGAGGTGATTGCTTTAACATCACCTATAAGATATTTTCCAGTAAATCCAGTATGAGAAGTCATGCTTTACTTAAACTTAACTTTTTGCAGTCAAAATCCATTTAATTTCATTTTCATCATTATAAGTTTTCAATATACATTTGAGCTTGTAAAAATTCACTTATGACGATCAGTAAGAAAAGTGTGGGATTTTTAAAAGAAACGAAATCATGTAATTATGTTCAGCCAGAGACAAAATAGAGGCAATCAATGTTCAAGTAAGTTTTCATAGGACAGTTCTTCAAAAAATGCAATAACTATATTATGTTTTTTATGGGGCTTCTCTGTAAAGCTGTATTTTTCTCAGTAGGTCTTTGAAATGTAACAAAGAGCAAAGCAGAATTCTGGACTGTGAAACTTTTATTTTTCCATTCTCTCTCATCCTTTGGAAAAAATACCATTGATCTTCAAAGACTAATTTGAGCACTAGGGTTTATTAACCTTAAAAATAGGAAAGTATTTTGTTAGCCTTCTCTTTTTTTTTTTTAATTTTTTATTTTAGAGACCTTAGCTTTCACTAAGCAAAGAAAAATTGTAAGCCATGTGAGTACTGAATTAATTAGGTCACTCAAATTAGGCTGTTACTTTTTTGGATGACCTTGATGAATTCAGGTGCCCTAAATTTCATGCTTACTTATTTTGGTATTGGATGCAATGCAAATTTTCCTTTAATAATTTCATTTTAACAGTTCCTCAATAGTTTGGGTTATTTTTTCTTATTACACTTTTGGTTTTAGTATTTGTTTCTGTCAGTCAATCTTAAAGCTGAAAAACAAGGAGGGTATATACACACATATACTACTAAAACAAACAAAAAACCCCAAAACAAAACCTCAAACAACACACTCTGGTTGCACACTACTGAAAAATGTTCCCAACACTGCTAAAAGTAATACCTAAGTAGAGGGGGAAGGAAAACAGGACAGACCAAAATTTCATGAAACTCACTGCGATTCTTTCCTTTTACCATAATGTGCCTCAAGTCTAACAAATATTAGCTTCATCTAGGTACTCAGAAGGACCTGAATGTAAAGCAATCATTAATTTAGTCTAGTTCCTACGCTATGAAGTCAGTGTGGGGTTAACAGTGCTCTCGAGAGCAGAGCGGGTACTCGTATGAATTCCACTTGACAAACTGAAGTTGAGAAAAACCATACTACCAGAGCTATGGCTAGAAATGAGTTAGCTTTCCTGTATAAATTAAAGATAGGAAAAGACTATGTTAATATTCAATAAGAAATTAAGCACAAAGAATTACTCATTTGCAGTCCTCAGAAAGGCTAGGGCAGGAAGAAATTTGGAATGGAAAGAAATATAGAAACATTTTGGTTGGGGAATCTGATCAATACCTAGCCAGTTGGTAAATTTTGAACAAACACACACATTTGATAAAGAACACAATCTGTTCACAGATGACTCTTGATTAGAATAAAAAGCCAAAATCTGCTGAATAAAATGGTTATAAATTGTAATGTTTCATCTTGAATAGGCAGATAATTTTATGGTTTGCTACTAACTGTCATCTGCTGAATATTCAAGATGACATAGAAGGAGATTTTGTTGTCTTGGTCCAGTTAGCAACTATTATGAGAGCTATCATCTTTTCTGGTGGTTCTGACAGAGGTCCGAGGGTCTTAGAAAATGTATATACTGCCTTCCTTATTTGTAGTAGTCCTTCCCCCGATTGATATGCTTCGTGGGCAGGCCAAATGAGATTTTAGCTTTGTTGCGAGTTACAATATGGTGATGAGTTACATTCAATATGAGTGCTCATTTAAGTGAAAAAAAAAAAATCTGGAAGCACAGTCAGAGCTAAATTTCACTGGGAAGATGAAATAAAAGAAAACTCTTATACTTGTAGTGCCTGTTTAACAGCTTGGCACAAAGCCATGCCAAAGAGTAAAGAGGGCTCGCCCACAAAATGCCAGGTGGCAGAGCAGCGATTATCAGATGAACTGGTAGAGCAGTATCTAGGCTTGCAGCAAATGTCCACATGCATTGGAAAAATCATGGAGACAGATTTCTTATGCTCTCCTTCAGTTCCAAAATACACGACCTTAACCATAGGGTGGTCAAACACTGGAACAGGCTTCCTAGAGAGGTGGCCGATGCCCCAAGCTTGTCAGTGTTTGAGGCATTTGGACAATGACCTTAGTAACATGCTTTAACTTTTGATCAGCCCTGAGGTGATCAGGCAGTTGGATTAGATGATCATTTTAGGTCACTTCCAACTGAACTGAATTAAAAAAAACCAAACATAATAATAAAAAAAAAGAACTCTCAACAAGTCTGAGCAAACGTGCCCATCTGGCTGTGTACAGGTTTGTGTAGAGATGTGCTAGTGACATAGCATGCCTTGGAAAACGATGAAAGTCACATATCTTTCAGTGTCTCATGTTGGAGAAGACCTGACAAACTTTGACCACAACAAATTTGTGTCATAAGATCTTGCAAGGAACAGGGCAGAGGGCCAACATGCTGAACTGATCCGTCATTTCAAATCTGGGTTCCTAGAGGTAGGAGCTAAAGGTTATTTTGGCAACTAAATGATGCATGAACAGTGATGAACAGACTTAGCTTACT